GTTAATACTTTTAAAACGATGAATTATGCAATTTCGAACAAGTCTGACCGTCTGACCAAGGTATGACCGTCTGATCGTATGACCGTCTGACCATTTGGGTACGAAAATAAAAGGTCTAAATTAAATTTAAACGATTTGAAAAGTTGTATAGGGGTCATAAAAATACTACTGCATCGTTTTGGAGTTCTAATTTCATGTATAAAAAAATATCTTCCAACATAAGTCAATTGTATCCAATGTATTACACTAACACTACTAGTACTTTAGGTATTCTTTGGAAGGAGTTACATTGTCAAACAAAAAATGTGGTCAATCCATATTGTTACGACAAATTTGAACCTGAAAAATTTATGATATGATATGATTATTATTATGTATAAAAAAATATCTTCCAACATAAGTCAATTGTATCCAATGTATTACACTAACACTACTAGTACTTTAGGTATTCTTTGGAAGGAGTTACATTGTCAAACAAAAAATGTGGTCAATCCATATTGTTACGACAAATTTGAACCTGAAAAATTTATGATATGATATGATTATTATTATGTTAATACTTTTAAAACGATGAATTATGCAATTTCAAACAAGTCTGACCGTCTGACCAATGTATGACCGTCTGATTGTATAACCGTCTGACCATTTGGGTACGAAAATAAAAGGTCTAAATTAAATTTAAACGATTTGAAAAGTTGTATAGGGTTATAAAAATACTACTGCATCGTTTTGGAGTTCTAATTTCATGTGTAAAAAAATATCTTCCAACATAAGTCAATTGTATCCTATGTATTACACAAACACTACTAGTACTTTAGTTATTCTTTGGAAGGAATTCCATTGTCAAACAAAAAATGTGGTCAATCCATATTGTTACGACCGAGTTTGAACTTGAACAATTTGTGATATGATATAATTATCACTATGTTAACACTTTTAAAACGATGAATTATGCAATTTCGAACAAGTCTGACCGTCTGACTATGGTATGACCGTCTGACCGTATGACCGTCTGACCATTTGGGTACGAAAAAGAAAGGTCTAAATTAAATTTAAACGATTTGAAAAGTTGTATAGGGGTTCTAAAAATAATTTTGCATCATTTTGGAGTTCTAATTTCATGTGTAAAAAAAAATCTTTCAACATAAGTCAATTGTATCTAATGTATTATACAAAATCTTCCAACATAAGTCAATTATATCTAATGTATTATACAAACACTACTAGTACTTTAGGACTTATTTGGAAGGAGTTACATTATTGATGACATCATTGTTCTTGAAACCATGAGCAAAATCGGATCGGTTTGACCGGTGTGGTATTTCGGTAGCCAAAATTTCTCTCAGGATTTTCATCAAACACTTTCCATACATTCTCAAATTCTTCAACTTTGGTATGCCATATCTCGTTATGGAGGAAAAATTTGACGAGTGTAAGCTTAAATGATATTGTTCCTTCGAATCGGATCGAAGTGAAACCCTAGTAAGCTAAAATTCTATATATGAAGAACATGTTTGATCAACACTTTTAAATTCGTAAATTCATCATTTTTGAAAAAGTATGACTAGTATGACCAGTATAACCTTATGACCAGACTGATGATATGATCGGTATGACCAAAGGTTGACCGTCTGATTGTCTCACTAAAGTATCATCGGTTTGACCAAAGTTTGACCGTCTGACCGATTTGTTATATGAGATTATTATTATACCATATTAACACTTTTTAAAAATGATAAATTCATCAATTTTCAATAAGTTTGACTGTCTGACCAAATTCTGATTGTATGACCAATGTCTGACCGTCTTATCAAAGTGTGACCGGTATGACTATTTTTCACACGAAAAGTAAAGGTCTAAATTAACTTTAAACGATTCAAAAAGTTGTATAAGAGTTATAAGAATATATTTTTTATCGTTTTGGTGATCTAATTCCATGTATAAAAAAAATCTCTTAACATAAGTTATCTTCACCCAAAGTGTGACCGGCTAACCAAACTGTGACCTCTGACCAAAATCTGATCGGTATGACCAAAGTCTGACCGATATGACTAGTATGACGTGTTAAGAGCCAAATTTTCTCTGAGGATTTTTATCGAACACTTTCCATGCATTCTCAAATTCTTCAACTTTGGAACGTCGGATCTTGTCATAGTAGAGAAATATGTCGAGTGTAAGACAAAAATTAAGAAATTTTTTGTTAGAATCGCCAAGAAATATCTTTGGAGAGAAAAAGAAAAAAAAATTTGCGATTTGAATTTTTAGAAAAAGTGAGAGAAGAAATTTTCGAAGTTTTTTTCACTATATAGAAGGTTGCCACGTATTCAATTTTTTAAGAGTAAACTAGTCTTTTCGTTGTTTTAGTTTTTTTTTTAAAAACCCTAAACCTAGAAGGTCATCCCTTGAAGTAAGAAACGACATTTGGGGTTATTTCTGCAATTTTCCCGCCTAAAAAGGAAAAAAAACCTTTTTAAATAAAAATAATAATGCCTACTCAACAATTTTTTAGGTAAACTAAAAGTATTCAATTTTTTAAGAGTAAACTAGTCTTTTCGTTGTTTTAGTTTTTTTTTTAAAAACCCTAAACCTAGAAGGTCATCCCTTGAAGTAAGAAACGACATTTGGGGTTATTTCTGCAATTTTCCCGCCTAAAAAGGAAAAAAAACCTTTTTAAATAAAAATAATAATGCCTACTCAACAATTTTTTAGGTAAACTAAAAAAATAAAGATAGACGAATATTTATTAAAAAAAATTGGAAAGAGACACGTAAGCCATGTGTATGCGTCATGCCTTGGTGCAATAATTTCTCAGAATCCCAAAGCTAATTTTAAAAATTAGAAATTATTCGTTTTAAAAATTAGAAATTGTTAAAAACTTAAACATCATAATAAATTGCTAACGTTTTCAATATAAAATTAGGATAACAGAATCTTTATTTTACTAAATAATAATTATTGCAATAACTTACCAAAACAATTCATATTTTTTTGCAAACAAATAAAAAGTTAGTTTTGTTGTGTTGTCGAAAAATAATCCATTTTCTTGTGTAAATGAGAGAGCGTGCTTGTCACGCGCAAGAAACGAGCGTGAGTAAACAAATGAATAAAAAGAAAGTATGGTTGCTAACTAACTAAGAGAGATTAAAAACATGATTAAATGGATAAGGCACAAAAAGATACAGTTGGGAGTTGCTGAGATAATGGAACCTTCCAGCTTCGATCCAGCGCAGAAAACAGAGCACCGATTTCTCCACCAATCGAAATAAATTTATTGAAAAACCAAATTATGACAAATAATTTAATATATTTTTTTATTAAAAACATATATTTAATATATTACTAAGTTCTCGTGGATTTTCATTTTATATATTTTCATCCAAATTTAGTGGGTCCCAAAATTTACAGGGATCGCGGAAATTCGCAGATGTAGGAGAGGCCACCACTCGTACAAATGGCGTGTCGAGCCAAAAATGAATCCTTTTTCTTTTTCGAACGGCGGAAAAACCCTTCCTTTTGAAGAATTTCAATTTTCTTTTTTCCCATTGGCTTTATTCATTTTTGTTTCCCATCTCGTCTTTTCGTTTTTTTTTTTGGTTTTGGGATTGTTTGGTGAGAGGTGGGTATTGGGTAATACGAGAATCGTGGAAGACAAGGATTCGGATTTGGATAAAAAGAGATTCTCTCTCTCTCTTTTTCTTAGGAAAACCAAATCAGTTTTGGATTTGATTTCTGGGTTTTCTCAAAAGAGCCTTATTTTGGCGTTCTTGTGAAGAAGGCTCACGCGGGGGATCGTGTCCCCTGTTTTTTTTTTCCTTCTTTTTTGGGTTTCTCTGTTCAAATTTCATGATAAAGCAGATTCCTTTCTGAATTTTAGCTTCTGGGTTTTGGTCATTAAAATCACCGCCGGCTCATATTCGAGGTTTTTTTTTTCTTTCTGAGATTTGTGGGGAAGAAGATGATAAGGTGGTGGGTGATTTCATATATGCAACTCGCAGAGCTCTTCGTGAGCTCTATGGTGCATTTGCTTTATGGGTTTTATATATTCAGCTCCGCCGTCGCTGGAGATATCTCTCAGATGATGAACGATTACATTTTCAAGTCCAATGTGGATTCTGATGCTACAGAATCTGTTCAAAATCGAAACAATGTGGATGGTTTGCCTCCCATTGTTTTGGTTCATGGGATCTTTGGATTTGGCAAAGGGGTAAGCTAAGACCTATCTCTTTTACTCTCTGTCCAATGGCTTCTTTGTGTTGTAACCTCTGATTTTGATTGTTTCATTAGAGATTAGGAGGTTTATCGTATTTCGCTGGTGCTGAGAAGAAAGATGAGAGGGTTCTGGTTCCTGATTTGGGTTCCTTAACAAGCATATATGATAGGTAAACCAATGTGCAGGGTTTAGTGATTCATACTCACTTGATCCAATCTTAGTATGTTGTCTTTTGCTAAAAACAATTGGGGGATGATATCTGGGTTTTGGATCTCAGGGCTAGGGAATTATTCTTTTACTTGAAAGGAGGGCAAGTTGATTTCGGCGAAGAGCATAGCAGGGCTTGTGGCCATGCTCGGTTTGGGAGAGTCTATGAACAAGGTTGAACACAATTCCCTTGTTTCTGATCTGTAGTCTCTTATCACAAATGTTCGATTTCATCTGAAAATAACTCCAAATCGGAATTCAGGGCAATATCCTGAATGGGATGAGGATCATCCTATACATTTTGTCGGGCATTCTGCTGGGGCTCAGGTCGTGCGAGTGTTGCAGCAAATGCTCGCCGATAAGGTTTGAGACTGATTCCCTAATCCAAGGTTAAAACTTTGTATGAGCTCATATGTTAATGATCTAAAACTGTTTGGTCAGGCTTTTGAAGGGTACGAGAACACGGACGAGAACTGGGTTCTAAGTGTAACATCCTTATCCGGGGCGTTCAATGGCACAACAAGAACATACTTAGATGGCATGAGGTGAGTTCCCTGTTTTTATCTTGAGCCCTTTGATTTGTTGCTTTGCCACGGTATCACGAAATGTGATAGTGAAAGGATAAGAAAGCAAATAGAGACAAGTTCTGGTCCATGGATGATGGTTTTCGGTTTTAAGCTCGATAGTATCATTGTGGTTTGGTTGCAAATCTTACGTTGTTTTCCATTTTCAGGCCAGAGGATGGAATGAGCATGAAGCCGATATGTCTTCTGCAGCTATGCCGTGTGGGTGTGATAATGTATGACTGGTTGGACATCCCATGGCTGAAGTCATATTACAATTTCGGGTTCGATCATTTCAACTTATCATGGAAGAAAACGGGTTTTAGGGGTCTTGTTGATTGCCTCTTGGGAAATGCAGGTCCATTCGCTTCAAACGATTGGATCTTACCCGACCTTACCATCCAAGGATCCACTCGTCTTAATTCCTACCTCCATACATTCCCCAACACATTCTACTTCAGCTACGCCACCAAACGAACCCGGAGAATGATGGGAATTACTGTCCCTTCAGGCGTTCTCGGGATTCACCCTATGCTCTTCCTTCGCGTATTCCAGATGAGCCGATGGAAGTTTCCTCAGGATGTCTCCCCGCCCTATAAAGGCTACAGGTACGAAAACTTCATACTTAAAGCATAATTATTGAATTGTTCATACAAGCCTAACAACAAAGAAAAATTGCCTACTATATGCGTGGTAAAGGCCCTAATTACCAAACTTTCACGCTTAAGAGCCTAATTCTTGAATTGTTCGCTCAAGCTTTTATCTCCTAACAAGGAAGAAAGATTCAAACTTTCTCCAAATTATGACCAAACCCGGGTTGCCATCTTGTTTTTCGCACACTAAATGCATGGTAAAGGGAGGCCCCTACACAACATCTGAATGTAGAAAAGAAAAATGTTTTTGGATGAAGGGACGAGGAGTGGCAGGAGAACGACGGGGCATTGAACACGATATCGATGACACACCCGAGACTGCCAGTGGAACACCCGAGTAAGTTTGTAGTGAGCGACTCGGAGTGCCAAACGTTGCAGCCAGGGATCTGGTGAGTAGAGTGAATAAAAATCCTATGAAGTTAGTGAATAGGACAAGAGATTGAAATGAGGATTTTTGGGTTTGTGATGCAGGTATTATAAGATAGTGGAAGCAGATCATATATTGTTCATAGTGAATAGGGAGAGAGCAGGAGTTGAGTTCGACTTGATATACGACAGTATCTTCCAACGTTGCAGGAAGCATGTCTTCAAGAAATCTCCTCAGACTTTGCCTAATGAGCCCCCTTCTCTTCACTCTTCTCCTCTTTGATTAGCACTCATAAATCTGGATTGGGAAGACACCATTGGTTTTTTTTTTTTTGTTTCTTTTATTGTTTGGATGGGGAAAAAAAAAGAAAAAAGAAATTGATTTTTTATTTTTATTTTTATTTTTAACAATTGGCTCATCATTTGTCTTAGATTCCTCCTTTTAGAAGAATTTATAAAAGAATTCCCCTTTTTTGATAGTTTCTCATCAATTCTCGTGTTTTGAATTGTGGATGAATGGATGTAGACACTCTTGAACTAGACATTTCGTGCAAATTCATTTGTCCGAACAAATACAAACACGGTACTCTGTAAAAGGCAGGAAACGACGGAATGTCGTTGGTGATAAATCAGCTCAAACTACAAGCCGTTTCACTTCCCAGCATACCGCAAACTACATGCCGTTTCACTACATCTTCAGGATTCTGATATTCAGAATCGTTTGGATATCCACACAAGGAAGACAGCGCCCTTTTAGCATTTCGCGGAGAAACAAAACAAAGCCGAATCTTACATCTTAAGTAAATGGGCATGTAACAAAAAAAAAAAAAATAAACAAAGCATTGAAAATTCACAAAGAACATTTGCTTCTAAACAAATCGCTAGACAATTTTTGAGTCAACGGAAAAGGCTTCAAAATCGTTCTTCTTACGTTTTTTTTTGTCGTTGTAGAATTTCCCGCCGTCTCAATGGTAATTTACAAGAGTCGGAGTTCGTACTCACCGGCCATGGTTATGTATCTCACCCATGGAAGCGCCTGGTACCCGCTCTTTTCTATTATCTTCAGGTATCTTACCTACATCATTGGATCATATATATACATATATGTGGATTTTACATGCATGGAGGACATATGAACATTCTACTTCTTCAACTTATTTTTTTATCTGAACGAGCTGATTAACATGGAAATGCTTACCTGAATTCCTGAAACAGTGAAATATGGTATCTCAAATTTAACGCGGATAGGAGCTTTTCTCTCCGGCGTTGCTTCTTCCGCGGTTATGCTGGGAAGATGGAACTCCGCCCTTAACATGTACTCCTAATTTTGTTTTCAGAATTTCATCTCATAATCAAAAATATTACCGGTCGATTACTACGTTGAAATGACTGAGTTATCGATATATCACCTTGTTCCCGGGGAAAGATTTGATTTTCCAGGCAAGGGCATCCTTTTCAGGAGCATACGAAGCAGACCCAAGAGACGTCCTAACATTAGGATTAGATGCATCTTGTGGAACAGGCAGCTCGATCTCGACATTTGTTGCAGTACTGAAGAAAAGAAATTCTCGTTCAAACATTTGAAGAGGTTGAGTAGCAGGACATAAACATACCGTAAAAAGATTTTCAAAAAAAAGTCACATGATGATGCGGGTATTTTTTTACCTCCGTTCTTTAAATTGACTCCTGGCTTTTACAAGCATCTCAACACGACTTCTTGAATGCCTCTCTATCTGAGCTTCAACCCAAATAAGAGGCTTTACCTGAAAAAGGAATGCAGAAAATAATTACCATGAGAGATACATTTGTCGAAGAGGGAAATGGACTGCTACCAGAGCTATATTCTGCATTTTCAAACCTGAGTACTGAGTCTATACGTCATTAAATCAAAAGATCCATCAGGCGGTATGAAGGATATCGTCCTATCATTTTCGAAACGGGCCAATCGAACGCACCTGTGTCAAAGAACTACTCGTTGAAGGAGGAGATGTATAAAATTCAAGCGTTGAATCTCTATTTGTTTGAAAGAAAGAAGTAATCATCAGAGGATGCATTCAAAATTCAAAGAGAACAGAGGCTTCGGAAACATACTGATGGAATTTGATATCCTCTAAATCTATGGCTTTACCCTTCGTTGCCCGTCCCTGCGCTTCCAACAATACCCTATCATTCAGGCCTAACTTACACTCTGGCATTCCACTGCAATAACATGTATCAAGAACAAAATAGTCAAACACAGAGTCGATAAATAGACCACAGAGGATGAACTTAGCGTTTCACTCGCTCATTGTCTCGACTTTTGTTGATAAGGAACACTACAGAAGAAAACAGGAAGTACTGACACACCTCAAATAAGTTCGCATCTTCAGAGCTCCAACGACATCAGACCTGACAATTTGCCCATTACTGTTGACAAGAATATTTACACTCTCTACAACGTCCAGGAAAACCTAGAAAACAAAATCAGTGTGTTCTCATTTGAAAACCCAATCACGAAAAAGAGAGAGGTTCCCTGCTTGAAAACAAAAGCACCTACTTCATTCTTTTTGTACTGTATGCCCTCACTCCTCCATGAGACTGCATTCGTAACAGCCATTGGAGGTCTCTGTGTAACTTCCATTCTATATGCATCGGTCTTGATAAATTCACTAAGGATTCTCGCTTCAGTATATTGAGGGTAACCAAAGTCCATCATCTCATCAAGTAATTCATACTGCCAGAAACAGAAACCCATTTTCGAATCTAACAAATATAAGCTCTGAAGATAATGATAAGAGAAATGGAAGAAGACTTGACATACCACTACCACGAAGTTATCTCTCAGTGATTCCTCCTCTAATTCCTCAAAATAATGTTTGAAGACCTATAATCAGTGTGGAGAAATTATGAGACTGATCGAAATCATATGAAACAATAAAGTTCCATCTTCATCTTTCCTTCTTCGATCAACACAAAAATTGAGAATTTTACCAGTAACTGCTTACATCGATTACACGATGGAGGAAGAAGATAAGACTAGCAGCATTGCAGTTCTGCCTTGAAGCTATCATCAGGTAAACGTTACTATGCTGTACAAACATGTAGGTCACTCCATTATCGTAAGCAACAGGATCCTTCGACTGTGGATCCCCCTGTACTAACACATAACCAGATGATGAGAAATGCAGCTCTTTTTTGTCAGAAATCACATTAAAGATTACACCGTTGAAGATTGGATTCTCAATCAATTAACTAAGGATTAAACTCATCCATTACTGCCAATCGCTACAATCCATGTTCGAAGAATTAGATACAAATTCGACGTTTCGGTTCAGTGGTTCCAATTTTCCACCATTTTATCAGCAACAAATTGCAGCTATACTCGATTGGAAAGTACCAACAGTCACATCGATGCAGATCGGATACTAATCCAATCTCAGGGATCAAACTCATCCATTAGCTCACTCGCTTCAAACCCTAACCAGAGAATTAGATACAAATCCGTCGTTTTCCGTTCATTGCTTCAAAATTTCCCCCCATTGTCTCAGCAACCAAACACCAAATCAAGAAACAAACACCAACTCATACGAGAAAAAAAAACGAAATCGAGCAAGCGTAATGGAGTTTCACCTCTTTCTCGATGAGCTTGGTGAAGAATCGCTCGGCTTGAACGGCGGAGACATCGCCGCGGTAGTCGCGCCACACGAGAACGCGGCCTTTGATGTCAAGCAGAAATATCGCGGAGGCCGCTCCTGCCATTGTTCGTCGGAGGTGGTTCTAGGGTCGCGAATCAGATCGGAAATGGTGGAATCGGATTACCAGCGAGAGATGAATGAATCCGTGCCTCTGGACGCCGAAGTGGAAGAAGAACATCTAGAGACAGCAACTGGGAACGCCTTAGCTAGATCTTGCAGAGGACGCCGAAGTTTCCATTGTGTGATTGTTTTTTTCGCAGTGGCTTTTCACGATCTGATTATTTCTTGTTCGTCAGGTTCATAAAATGAGGGAAGCCCAAGGACAAAACGAGGAAAACTAAAAAAACCATCCTCTTGTTATAAATAAAATAAATTTATGGTGGAGCCCACCTACTCTTCGTACCGAATACTGGTATACGTATACGTGACAATAACTTCGATATTTCTATAAATAGGTCATTATACTTTCAAGAGAGAGATCAATAAGAAATAAATTTGTTCTCCATTCTTCTAAATACAGTTTTCGGTTTATAGTTAACGATTTAATATCCGGATCGTTAATATTTATACCAATTTCATAACACGTTATCAGCACGAGTGCTCTTTCACAACTAAAGGTAAGATAACTTATCTTTAATACTAATATTTTCGTTCTTATGATATATACATATATTTATTGATACTTGAGTGGAATTAACCCAAGCTATATATGAATACCGATATTTTTTATAATTAATTTATGGACGGCTATGCCGCCTCGATTATTATTCATGGACGGCTATGCCGCCTTAATTATTAATTTGGACGGTTTTACCGCCTTAAATATTTATTCATTATTGGACGACTGTGCCGTCTAAACTATTAATTTGGACGGCTTTGCCGCCTTAATTATTTATCTGTTATTGGACGGCTATGCCGCCTTAAATGTTAATATTGGACGGCTATGCCGCCTTATTTACTAATAGACTATTGTGTTTATTCTTTATAGACGGCAATGTTGCCTGAATTATTTTACTTCTGCATACGGTAATACCGCTACATATAAACAATTATACTATCTAATCTATATAAATTATAAATATTCACCATGCAAAATATTATCATATATAATATTGATTGATCATTTATACGAAAAAAGTTTTGAACAAAAAAACATGTGTTAGTAATAAAATTTACAAATAAAGTTTTATAAATTCTTTCATATATCGTTACATTAATTATAAATTATTTGTTTCCTCAATAATTAGTTAATTATATATATAGCATGATCAATTAATTTTAAAAAATAGTTTAAAAATTTGTTTTGATAAATTATTTTATATAGTTTTATGATATAAATTGGTAAAATCATTTATAAAATTAAAAAAAAATCTCCAACGGCTATAATTAAAAAAAATCAAATTTTGGCTCTTCCCCAATGGTTAGGAATAGTGAATTTTACCCTATAAATACACTCACCCATTCACTCAAAAACTCACACCAAATCATCTCATTCTCTTCCTCTCTCCCACGAAAAAAAAAATCTCTCAAGATGAATTTTATTAAAATTCTCTTTGTTCTAGCAGTTTTAGCAGCAACATTTAGTATTTTCTTCGACAAAAATCTCGATCCATTTTTGTTTTCAATTTGCGTTGCGCTCTTACCTCTCGTTTACGTGTTTCTAATGATAGCAATTTATATGTAATCATGTATTTCGCTATGTTGTCTTATCCATGATAATGAATAAAGCTAATGTATGGTTTATTTTTTTGTTTAGTCATAATGGCAAGAATGACAAACATCGAGTTCGAGGTCCTCGACATATCAGGAAATAATTATTTATCATGGCAGTTCGATGCTAAGCTGCATCTCGAATCAAAAGGTCTTGGTACCACCAAGAAAAAAATGCATCAAACGAGAATAAAGCAAAGGCACTGATATTACTGCGACATCATCTTCATGATGATCTGAAAAAGGAATATTTGATAATTAAAAATCCTGCAGATCTTTGGTTAAAATTAAAAGACCGTTTTGATCATCAAAAAACGGTGATCCTTCCCAAGGCAAAATATGAATGGATGCACCTCCGATTTCAAGATTTCAAGAACGTCAGTGAATATAACTCGGCAATGTATCGAATCACTTCGATTCTAAAATTATGTGGAGAAACAGTCAGCGAAAATGAGATGTTGGAGAAAACTTTCTCAACAATGCATGCCTCAAAAATTATACTCCAACAACAATATCGAGAAAAGGGGTATACAAAATATTCGGAGCTTTTATCGTGTCTCCTATTGGCCGAACAGAATAATGAGTTGTTAATGAAAAACCATGCATAACGACCGACTGGATCTGTACCATTCCCTGAAGCGAATGCTACGGAAAACAAACCATTCCCTGATCTGAATGCTACAGAAAAAACATCATTCTCTGGAGTGAATGTTATGTCTTATAATGGTCGAGGACGTGGTTATTTTCGAGGTAGAGGCCGAAGCCGAGGACGCGGTCATGGTGCTAGCAGAAGTTGGATCAGAGGATATGGTCAAGGAAACTCATCTCAAAATCATAGTTTTAACAATAATAAAGGGGAGCACATGGTCGTCCAAATAAGAGGATGAAAGAAAGTACATGCTACCGGTGTGGAATGACGGGATATTGATCGCGTACTTGCCGCACAGCTAAACACCTGATGGAACTTTATCAGAAGTCAATTAAAGAAACAAAAGGGAAAGACATCGAGACCAACCATGTCATGAGTGATTATGATGATAATGCTAGTGGTGCTAAGGACTTTGCTCATATGGACCTCGCTGATGATTTTGCCCCTTCTGAAGATGGAGCCGGTTATGAATAAAAAAATATAATAATAATAATAATAATAATAATAATATATAAATGTTTGCATACTTCTAAAATAGATATATTAATAATACATTTCCTTAGTTTAATGACTGTCATGTTGTTGTGTTCTTAGAAAACGAATATGGCTAAAAATGCGGACTGAGGAGGAGATATATGTTTAGCAGATAGTGTTACAATACATACAATACTGAAAGACAAAAAGTATTTCTTGAATCTGAGAATAAACAAAGGAAATGTTACTACTATATCTAGAAATGCAAAAATAATCGAAGGCTCCGGAAGAGCCGATTTCATTATGTCAGGAGGAACAAAATCTACAGTAAAAGATGCATTATTGTCTTCCAAGTCCCAAATAAATTTATTGAGTTTTAAAGATATCCGACAAAATAGATATCATATTGAAACTATGAATGAGGATGATACTGAGTATTTATATATCACCTCAATCAATTCGGGACAAAAGTATGTGTTGGAAAAATTACTCACTCTATTCTCGGGATTATATTATACTAATATCAATGTGATTGAATCACATGTCATAGTAAACCAGAAGTTTACTAATACGTTCAAAGTTTGACATGATCGATTGGGTCACCCGGTGCCTTTATGATGAGAAAAATCATCGAAAACTTTTATGATCATCCATTGAAAAACCAGAAGATTTTTCAATCGGATGAGCTTTCTTGTGATGCATGTTCTAGAAAAAAATTAATAATTAGACCATCACAAGTCAAAATCTGGCATGAGTTTTTGGAAAGTATATATTGAGTACGATTCGTCATCCATTATATGATATCTTGAGCCACAAACTGGAGATATTTTTACGGTTCATTTTGCTGATTGTCATTTTAAAGAAATTGAATCCCACCATTAGGGGGAGAAAAATATAGAATGGTGGAAAATGGAAATGATCTTAATTGGTGTATACCATCATTACCCCACTTTGATTCCCCAACAATACAACGAGAACTAGGTGTTCAAAGGATTATACATTTGCATAATATTGCAAATCAGTTACCTGATGCATTTGCAGATATAAGTAGAGTAACAAGATCGTATATAGATGCTGCAAATGTTCCTGTTCGGATTGAAATTCTGAAAGAACAAACGAAAGAAAATTCGACAAAAGACTCCAAAACACGCTTGAAGCGTGGACGACCTATTGGTTCTAAGGATAAAAACCTCCGAAAGAGAAAAGGGCCCAAGAAAAATGAAATGCTCAATTCAGAGGAACACGTTCCAAATCAAAGAAATGATGTACCTTCCGATGACGGTATAAATCCAAAAAATAGAAATCATGAGATCTCAATTAATTATATCAGTAATGGTACATTATGGAATCGGAAAGAAATCAAAGAGATTGATGATATATTCTCTTATAATGTATCAAAGAAAATTGATGAAAATGAGGATTCAGAATCCAGATCTATTTCGGAGTGTTAAAGGAGACCGGATTGGAATAAATGGAGAGATGCAATACAAGCTGAATTAGATTCGCTTAATAGGCAAAATGTATTCGGACATATTGTTATTAAACTGAAAGAAGTTTCTCCTGTTGAATGTAAATGAGTATTTGTGCGGAAAAGAAATGAGCACAACGAAATTGTAAGATATAAAGCTCGCCTTGTTGCACAAGGTTTTTCCCAAAGACCAGGAGTAGATTACGAGAAAACTTATTCTCCTGTTATGGATGCTATTATATTCTGATACCTAATTAGCCTTGCAGTTTCAAAGAATTTAGAAATGCATCTCATGGAAGTTGTCACTGCTTATGGGTCACTTGACACGAGTATCTATATGAAAGTCCCCGAAGGATTTAAAATGCCCAAAACATTGAAAGCAAAACCACGAGAGTTATGTGCTGTCAAGTTGTAATGATCATTGTATGGGCTAAAACAATCAGGACATATGTGGTATAAACGCCAGAGTGAGTATTTATTGAAAAATGGATATACAAATGATCATATATCACCATGTGTATTTATCAAAAAGATAATATCTGCGTTTATGATATGTGGATGATTTAAATATTATTGGAACTCCCCGTGAAATCAAGGATGCATCCACTTATTTAAAAGGAGAATTTGAAATGAAAGATTTTGGACAAACCAAGTATTGTCTTGGGTTACAGATAGAACTTTTGAAAGATGAAATCTTTTTACATCAATCTAAAACGGGTACAAAAACGATTCAATATGGATAAGATAAATCCACTAAGTACCCCGATGGTTAATAGAACATTGGACATTAAAAAGGATCCATTTCGTCTTCGCGAAGACTAGAGAATGATTCATCAAAAGTGACAGAACAAAACATATCCCCCGAAGTTTTGCATATACCCATGAGTTTGAAAGGAATAAGGAGATTGAAGTCAGATATATACGATCAAGTGACAATGCAGCAGATTTGTTCACCAATGATCTTCCGACAATGGTGTTCAAGAAGCATGTACATTATATTGGGATGTGTCATTT